GACAGGTCTTGTTGATATGGGATTGATTAGGCAGCTATATAATTAATAGGTAATGGGATTTCATGTTCTCCAATCAAGAAATAATTAGACTCGAAAAATTCCTCTGACTGCCAAATTGGACTCAGCCTACGGCCTCATCCAATTTTGTCAGTCCACGGAATTTTCCTCGTCCAATTATTTCTTAATTGGACAGCATGGAGTCCTATTACATATACATATATAACTAATACGCTTCAATGCCTTTACAATAATCTAAACTGTTTCATAAGAGGATCTCATTCAGCTATATCTTTTCATGCAATCATTTATTTAAGTACATACCAAATTTTTTTCTAAAAAGAATAAGAAAGAATATAAATTTGAAATCTTTGAAATTTTCTTGGCATTATACTGTATCCATCTCCAGCAAAAAGCATAATACATGGTCTTAATACCTTACATGATAGTTAAAACTGAAATTCAATTCCATTTTTTCAATACAGTCAACTCTCAATCGGGACCTTCACTTGTTGCCCGTAATAGAGTGCAGCCATATATCCGTGAAATAGAACAAAAATAGCACTAAACACATCTATTTCTTTTGTTTTGAATTGTTTCAGTGGTACTATTTTGTACTTATAAGTTAGTTCTATTTCACAGAAATATGGCTTGCACTTTAGCGAGCGTCCGCAATAGCGACAGTTAATTTCAGTCATTTCTTTATCAGTTTTTCCCGCATGTGAATTTCCTCTTGTCCGCAATAGCGAGATGTCCGTAACATCCGGGGTGTCCGAAAGACGAGAGTTACTTTGATTTACTTACATGAATCCAATATCTAACGACCAAAGTCGAAAAAAGTCTAAATCTCAGTTTCTAAATCAAATTGCACTTAAACGAAAAGAATTTATTCAGTAAATTGTTTACCGAAGGCTTAATAAATTGATGATAATTACAGTGTACCCAGCGTTGTTATCTGCTCAATTTATAGCATGTTATTTCTAGCAGTTTTCAATAACTTAATGGACTGTCATTTAATAAATACAAGTGTACTTTTACCGTCCAACCACCTTTTTTTGTCGGTCGTCTAAATATAGTTCGATGGATACTGACAATTCATTCGTAATCCAAAACGTTTGAACAATCACCAAATTAAAATAGCTCAAAACAAAGTAAATATTTACTGACTTCAAGAAAACAGGACTGAAGGAAATACTAGACCTCCATTTTTCAACCCAAAAAAATTGTTCACATTGTTATTTTCCAGGAACAAATCAGAGTCTTGCCATAACAGAATTAAACTGAATTAAAAAATATTCATCATGTATTATGCTTTGTTACTTAGCGTTTATAGAGGAGCATGGGAGCCCTTTTGTAGGGTAAAAAGTAAAGGTTTTACAAAGAAGGGAAAAAATMTTTTAGTGAAAATTGCTGCCACCCTAACAGATGGCCACTGTTCGTGATTCAGTAACTGACACCTCTTAGAATGACGATCTACACAGTCCACGTACAATTCTACGCAGTTTCAATCTAGATTTGTTTAAAGTCAGTAAACTAAACAAAGACGGCTTTTAGTACAGGGATTTTACATTTATCAACCGAAGACGACCTTTTAATACCTTTGTTTGGAAACGATTAATGATCTTCGATAACCTTCTTCCTGATTTGGAGGTCTTCCAGCCCCATTAATACTTGAATTCCTTTCTTATTTACTTCATTTATCATATAAGAGCCCATGGCATTCAAAATATTATCGCTAATTACTTTCTGGAAATTTTTACCCGTCCTGTTGTCATTGTTTCGCATAAGTATTATTCACAATAACAAGAAAGAGTAAATTAAATTTCGCGCATGATAAACGAAGTGTCAAGATTTAATGATTTATAAGGCAACTGCTGTCAAAAAATGAAAGATTTTTTTTACATAAGCTCAAGATGTCCACAGCTTGCACACTGTAAAGAGCACAGATAAAGAAATTTACAAGATTAAGGAATCACGTTTAGTTTCATCATTTATTGTCTAAGATTTAATCATTCCCAGTGATAAAATCCGTCATACTTTAGTTTGTTAACGGAAAATCTTTTTTAAAAATGACAATTCCGTGAATTTTTGGCGACTTTTTGAAAACTAACGAAAACTTTTGACAGCTTGGTGGCGCGTGCGTTTTTCCAACACGCAAAAAAATGGCGGGAAAAGTAATGCATTGTTTAATCAAAGTTGTTCTATTAACTGGTCTTTAATATTTTAAATAGCGGTTCTTTTATCCTACAAAACCACAACGTTAATTGTTCCCTCAAATATTTTTTATCCATCATGCGGCAAAGAAATAGAGATTGATTTACACTGATTTTAAACTTTAGGAATTGCAATTAAAAAGAAAAACGTTTTTCTCGAACACTTGAAAGGATTCTGAGTCAAAGCATTTTGATTGAACGTCATGCATTTCCTCGATTTGATTGGTTCAGAAAAGAAAGCATTTGAAGAAATCCCTCTACAAACATCGTATGCTCAGACTATTAAAATCAATTTGAGCGATTAATCCACGAATTGAAAAATCAAATACTACAGTACTAAAATAAAAATAAGTAAAGTCGTTTTAAGTATTCCTGCTTCGTTCCTAGAAAAGACGTAAAACGTGAAGTGAAAAAAAAAGAAAAGGAAAGAAAAAAAAAAGTGGCTCACTGCATCGATCTAAAAACAGTTCTCTAAATCTTTTAAATAAACAGAGGACACGCGGTAAGATAAAGTGTCCGACAAAACATAAGCCATATGTTTTAACAAAAGCCAATTAAATGTCATACTGCTGAACCAACTGATTCAGACAAGGCGGGCGTATCAGATCAAAATATTATCGAATTAACATTTGAAGAAATGGTAGAAGATAATATAGGTAAGTTGTAGTGCTTGGGAACGAGGTTATTCCGGGCGAAAGCCCTTGGAATTAAATTCGGAAAAATTAATTTCCGACCTCGCTGGGATTCGAACCCACGACCTTCGGAATTGTACTACCGATGCTCTACCAGCTGAGCTAGAGGTCAGGCTGAGAGCAGGCCGGGGTGAAATAGATGTTAGGTCGCGGTAATTATGATGCAAAGATGAGAGTATGTGGACCGCGTGGCACTAATGAAATAGTAGAAGATAATATAGGTAAGTTGTAGTGCTTGGGAACGAGGTTATTCCGGGCGAAAGCCCTTGGAATTAAATTCGGAAAAATTAACCTAACATCTATTTCACCCCGGCCTGCTCTCAGTCTGACCTCTAGCTCAGCTGGTAGAGCATCGGTAGTACAATTCCGAAGGTCGTGGGTTCGAATCCCAGCGAGGTCGGAAATTAATTTTTCCGAATTTAATTCCAAGGGCTTTCGCCCGGAATAACCTCGTTCCCAAGCACTACAACTTACCTATATTATCTTCTACTATTTCATTAGTGCCACGCGGTCCACATACTCTCATATTTGAAGAAATGTAAATGGTATAGATATGAGGTCAAAACAATAGCTGCGCATGAGCAAACGATGTCTGGTATTTTCCATTGAAGCCTGGGGAAATCCTGCAAAATTATTCAAATTGAATCAATAAAGAGGAATGGGTTTGGATCACAAGAGAAAATGTTTTCCTAATTTGGACTCTTTTGCTTCTAGCAAAATGTTTTTTTTTGTTTTTTTTTTCAAATCCTATACAAAGAATATTCGTTTGTAGTCCGCCATAATGATGATTTTTAGCGTTGTCAATTAAGAAAGGAATGCTCAAGTGTGGATGAAAATGATTTTTTTTTTCATTTGAATGGGCTAAATCCACTTGCTCGTCAGTGTTTTAATATTTCAGACCACGTGAATTTTCCCTTGAGAACAAGATTGTTTGTTTGAGTCTTCTCCTGTGCAACAAAGCGGAACCAACCTCTCTCCCCCTCCCCATAAACTCCGAAACAGAATATTCCCCTTCACATTTCCCTGTGCCATTTTGAAAGTTAACTGTGGCTGTGCATCGAAGCAAGAAGGGTGATGACCTTTCCGGTTTGTTTGTTGCTGTTCTTCTTAGTCTTAATTCTTAAAACAAGATGTATCATCTCAATCTTACGAGTTTGTTTAAAGTAGAATCATACTATACAATGAATATCGTGACATTAGCTCATATCTCGAGGACTGCTTGCTTCATTTTCTGAAGTTTACAGATAAGTTTAAAGCATCGCGGTCGCAACAAAAGCTTTTCTTCCTGTCGCGACCACGATTTCTATGTCAGCAGTCGCCTCTATCTTATCTCGCATCTCGTTTCCTAAAAGTGTTTTGTTATAAAATTTGGTTTTAATTAACAAAAACAAAAAACAAAACAAAACAAAAAGAAGAAAAAAATACAAGGGTGGGCGGTTATGCTAGACGGCAAAAAAAAAAAAAAGCTCTAATAAAGCGAGTATTCTATTGGCTTTGGTCGTATTTTCCACTTCATTCAGAGTCGGATGTAAGATTCATTTCCACGTGGTTCGATAATGATATCTCATGGCTGCGTTTAACTAATGGCTGACGATAAGAGAGTACTTTCATTAGCATAAGAAGAGGATACAACCATCTGTCGTTCTTTTTAGTCCAATTCCTTGTGATTATCTTTGATCCACTAATGCACTTACGATGACCGCTTGCCTCTTTTTACAAGCAACCTGCCTGCGCGCGCATATCATTTTCTCCAACTATTAATCAACTTCGTGCAATCCAAACCATTCCCTACCTCGTTCCAAAGCCTTCTCCCAGAAACCTTTCGCATTAAATTCTACAGGACTCAGGTATCTGAAATTCTACTTTTCACAGCGTTGACATGATTTGCACTGGTGTTTTTTTCAGAAGTACTATAACAATTAAACAATATTAGGTTTCCCGTTGCACATCTTCTAATGGACTTAGAACACAAGAAGTCATCAAAGCACTACACTAGCCATAACATAAGACGTCGTCAAGTTAAAAGCAACTGTTTCTACGAAGACTTAAAGTGTCTATGGAAAATGAATTTTTTATTGCATTTGTTTTTTCCCTACAGAAACTAAAGAAATATATCTACTGCTAGTCTGGTTGTCCTGGTTGTCTAGTGATTCTCTGGTCTATAACACTCTCAAGGTAAGACAAAAAGAGTTAGATTCTATATGCTTGATCGAGGAGTTCCTTTGTATTTGTACTAGAGATATATAGAGGATAAAACTCGACAGAACGATAAATGCCCTAGAATCTTACCTTCTCTAAAAATATATATATATTTGTTTGGTTTTTAAGACCGGGCTTTAAACTCTAAAATATCCATAATGTTTTTCAAATAATACAATTATAGATTTTTATAATTATTTCAAGGGAAATAAAACGGTTGCATGATGTAGTGCGACAGTCAAATATTGTATTGAATATATATCTGATTCTATATCTTGTCTTTGTCGTGTCCATGATTGTTTATAAGACAGTGAGCACAAAACAACACACACTAATATATTAATTAGAAGCCACTTCAGTGTCAAGGCAAGAAAAGTTTCTTGTTTAAGCATGATCGGAGAAAATAAAAATTATATTCTTGATTCTGTGTTGATAAACCCTAGCGTATGCTTTGTTTTGTCTCGATATTTGAATCCAGTCTTAACGTTGTATTGTTTCAGATTTCTGATTTCTATAGGCGCAATACTATATAAGTTAAATGTTTATGTAATAGTACGTATAGTGTTATAAAGCGATGTGCTTTTCAATTAAAATTCAAATATTTAAACTCCACCTCTCAAGTTATTAAAAAATATTATACTAAAATATTATCTACGTCTGTCTATAATATATTGTCCCAGTATTTCTATCAACCTAGAAGCCATAGAACAAAGCATGTTCCTAGTCTCAGTAGGTTTGATCGGATTATCTCAATRTATTATATGAGAAGCTCTGAACGAGAAAACTCGCAATATAATGTTACAGATAAAATTCTAATTCCGGTGCACCGGTTAAGTTTACGAGTTATTTTGTGAGCCAGTGCATTAACATGGAAACCGCGTTGTGGTCCGAAGTGTAATATAGTCCTCGGGGTATGGGGGTTYGAGTCCAAATTATGAATAAGTGAAAGAAGTATGAGGTATTTGTTTACGAATATGTGATTCCATCTTCGTTTATTACTTGAATGTTGGGCTTATTTTTTTCACTTTATTTTATTTTCTTACTTTCTTTCTTTTCGTACTTCTTTTTTTTTTTTTTTTTTTTTT